ACGCTACCAATGCCAAGAAAAGGGAAAATTGTTTTGCTCCCATTGTGGCAAGGAGGGTATACTATCCCGGAACTGCGAGTGCCGAATGAACCCGACCATCAACACCGATCATCATGGGAGATATTACATTTGGATCTCCCTCAATGGGAGAGGTTTGTGGGCTCTCGTAGATACCGGAGCTTCGCTTACCTACATCGATAGCTCTGTCGGCAAATTCGTGGACATGAAAGGGGTTAAACCGATCACAATAACCCGAAGAGTTCAGCTTGCCGACCAACAAATGGCCACCTGTGGAAGGGTATACCCCGTGTCGATTGTCTTCAACGACCAAGCCACCTCCATAGAGGCAACAGTACTACCGACACTTGCCGAACCTGTAGTTCTAGGGATGGATTTCCTGCTGAAGAGAGGTCTGGATATCGTCTTAGACGGGAAGGTCGCCCCCAAGGCAGCGATTAGTGATCGCTCCGGTCTGCATTACCTGCACAGCATATCGGACTGGGTGCTTTCGTCCCGAAAGAAGAACAAGTTACCCGAGAGTGAAGCAATACCTTACCGACGAGCCTATGAAAAATACAACGATTTCCGCACCAGAGCTCAAAGATCCGTCCGATTTCATACTAAATTAGTCAACCACACCGATTTTACGAAGGCTAAGCTTTTGGAAGTTCCAGTCCAATCGCTCCCTAAAACTTGCAAACCCCCGAAATCAAGACACCGAATTACCATAAAAGCGAAATTGGTGTCCCCGCCGCCAAGTTTATCGAGGAGACAGACGGATCCACCATCTAAACCACTTTTGCGGAACTATCCACAACGAAACACGACCGAGGCTGGCCAGCCCGAAGCACCAGCACATTATCATATAACCCGACAAAACCAGCACGACTATCTCCGTGAAGCATCACTTTCCCAAGCAGGGGGGGGGGATGTAACGTGCTGATTTCATCACGTACATTTATACGAACCAACAACCGCACCTATTACACAATGAGAACAACAACAGCGGCCACTGCAAGTGCGACGCTAACAGCACCAACCAACCACCACCACCATACACACACGACTCGGTCATACGCAGTCAACAAGGCGACAACAGCACGAGCCAACAAACGCAGCATTCATTGGACGCGTGGTGAACAAAGTAATTCATTGGACGCGTGGTGAACAAAGTAATTCATTGGACGCGTGGTGAACAAAGTAATTTTCGGTGGTGTGTTGCTCACAGCGTAAGGCTAATAATTCGCAATGACTTGGTAAAACCGGTCACATATAGTGTTCAGTCGGAGGTGCGATAGGACAGGCTTGCTACTGCAGGAGCTTGCCAAAGGGTAGCTAGTGATTTTTCTACAGATAATCGGCCGTCCTCCGACTAATAAAAGCGTTAGTCGGGAATACTTTTTCCAAGACTGGCTCTCATTAATTTGAGTGGCTGGTAATTCATTTACACAGGAGTTTCGGCTCGCTGTTCCACAGGAGCTTCGGCTCGCTGTTCCACAGGAACTTCGGTTCGCTGTTCCACAGGAGTTTCGGCTCGCTGTTCCACAGGAGCTTCGGCTCGCTGTTCCACAGGAACTTCGGTTCGCTGTTCCACAGGAGTTTCGGCTCGCTGTTCCACAGGGGTTTCGGCTCGCTGTTCCACAGGAACTTCGGTTCGCTGTTCCACAGGAGTTTCGGCTCGCTGTTCCACAGGAGCTTCGGCTCGTTGTTCCACAGGAACTTCGGTTCGCTGTTCCACAGGAGTTTAGGCTCGCTGTTCCACAGGAACTTCGGTTCGCTGTTCCACAGGAGTTTCGGCTCGCTGTTCCGTATTATAGTCAAACGTTGGTAGTGGAGTAGACGTAGTTAGAGAATCGTAGCTAGGCTAGTTACCTCGCCCCTGTAGCCGACCCGAATAACAGAAACCCGAGCTGCCGAACGAGCCACGATCCATCTACACAGCGTAACGCATGGGTTGCCGAATCTACCCTCAACGAGCTGTCGAACACGAACGAGCCCCGAACCATCTACACGAACGCATCGGTTGCCGAATCTACCCTCAACGAGCTGTCGAACACGAACGAGCCCCGAACCATCTACACGAACGCATCGGTTGCCGAATCTACCCTCAACGAGCTGTCGAACACGTACGAGCCCCGAACGTTCTACACGAACGTATCGGTTGCCGAATCTACCCTCAACAAGCTGTCGAACACGAACGAACCCCGAACCATCTACACGAACGCATCGGTTGCCGAATCTACCCTCAACGAGCTGCCCAACCAGTACGAATGTCAATCCGCTCACGAAGACCTGGACAGCTGTTCCCGATTACCCTCTAATCGTCAACAACCCTCATCACCCGAACACCAACATCGTAATTCCTGATCATCGACAACCGACGACCACAAGTTCCCGATTACCTTCAAATCGTCAACGAACACAAGTTCCCGATTACCGTCAAATGGTCAACAGACCGCATCACCCGAACACAATCATCATAATTCCTGATCGTCGACAACCGACGACCACAAGTTCCCGATTACCTTCAAATCGTCAACGAACACAAGTTCCCGATTACCGTCAAATCGTCAACAGACCGCATCACCCGAACACAATCATCATAATTCCTGATCGTCGACAACCGACGACCACAAGTTCCCGATTACCTTCAAATCGTCAACGAACACAAGTTCCCGATTACCGTCAAATCGTCAACACACCGCATCACCCGAACACAATCATCATAATCCCTGATCGTCGACAATCGACGACCACAAGTTCCCGATTACCTTCAAATCGTCAACGCAAGCGTCACCCGAACGCAACATCGTAATTCCCTATCTTCTTCACAATCAACCTTCGACGGTCATCCCCGAGTATCCGATCGTCGACTAGCCACACTCATATCAACCACCCGAGACTCATTGCGTACACCCGACATCATCACTCCCGATTGTTCACGAATCGTACACCCGCCTGCCTACGATACGAGTCAACATCGAATCCCCGATCAACAATTAAGCATCATCACCTTGGAGTCACGAACATATCCGAAGTCCATTTGCCATCCTATATTCAATACTTATCTTATCGTATTTCAACCCGAGTAGATTGTAATCTAGAATTAAAGATCAATAAAACATCCGATATTTACCCCCAGGAAAGGGAGAAATCTACTCTTATTATTTCATAAGGTTTAGTGGGTCCTTATGGCGACCCTGGGTACAGCTGAGCTTACCTCAGCCGACGAGAAAACCACGTTACAGTTTTGCTACTAAAATTAATCATTACGAATTTGATTGAATTTTTTATTTTTTTTTTGCATACATTTTTAACGCAATTCTTAAATAACTATGTCTTTTCATATTCCTGAATTTTACATGAAATATACTATAATGAATAGCGAATAAGTTTAAGAACTTGTCTGTTGGATTCCATGTAGACTTGGTTAAGGTTTGTTGGTGACGTCATAGGGGTTAAAACCCAAATGCAGATGGCTAATTAGCATGGATAGTTTCGACCATGGTTGGGAGGGCGATGATGGCAACAAAAACAGCATGTTGTCTAAGTCTTTGTCATGGTTTGATTCTATCAACTTTTCTCAGCTATTTCCTCAATGTTTCTATTCATTTCACTCTCTTTGTCTCTTGTGGTTGCTACGACATTCACCTCAATTTCCCGTTTCCTACTCGAACACCAAATCAACCTCATTCCGTGTCCTTCCTTCCTCTGTCCTCTGTCTATTACATATACACGCATACAATTTGAGAATTTATTCGTTGCGTAGTGGTATTTATGGCATTGAAGTATACCCACCGACGAGTGAGAAGGCCGGAGATATTGCGTGCTGGTGCTTCAGAAAAATGCCTTAGTAACATCGACCACACATTAACAACGTGCATACAAAATGCATAGAATCGGTCGGTACCACCGCTATGTTGATGCAGTGCAAACATGAAAATGTCACTTGGGAAAGTTGTAGTGTTGAAGTTAAAAATACTACATTGGGAGTTATAAATACTGCATTACAACTGACAACTGAAACACAAACTATGTGAACTTTTTATGATCGGGAAATTTTAATGTCAATCATCTTAGGAGTATGACAGGTGCCTATTTTATCAATTTATCTTAAATATTGTGACTTTGATAGAAGCGCATGGAAGGGTTTACTTCATCTGTTATGTTGACCTCAATTGATAGTTTTTACATATGATTGCTGCTGAGTTTCAAGTTTCATAACACAAAGAAGCCAACAATCGATACCTCATCGATTATTTGTTGTCATCAGAGAAGAACAATCGCTAAGCTAGAAGAAGCACTTAGCTAAAAACTTTTTTCACCAAATGAATTGTTTTAGTAAATAAAACTAAAATTCAGCCCGCAAAGTTTTTGTAATTTAATTGAGTGTTTTTTTTTTTTTGGACCTTACCACCAGTGCCTTAATAGCAACACGTAATTATCGCTTGTATACTTGCTGTTCTGTCTAATATTCATATTTATTATTTTTCGTCTTTGTGCAATAAGTTATGCATAGAATAATGAATACTCGTATATATACAGCTTTCAATATCGGTTTCCTAATAAATGTCGGAACAACACTTCTTGCGCGGTCAGGTGTGTGTTTTGCATTACTTGACTTCGAAAACAAATCAACCAGTCTATATCAACCGACTTCATTTCTGTCGGAAATGTGTATTATATGCACACATAATACACATTTCAGTAAAATTTTATCAGCCGACTTCATTTCGTTCGGAAGCTAGAGTGATTTCCACAGAGAGACAGACAGACAGACGGATAAGCATAAGGACATCACTATCGACATTGTGCTGATCAAGAATATATATACTTTGTGGGGTCGAACATGTTTATTTGTATGACAATGAATGACAAACTTAATATAATATGTAAAAACAGTGTGGGCATATTTGTTTAGGAAACCGTAGTATTTTGTTGTTGCAACAACAGCAAAACTACAACAAGAAAATTAAAACTTATATTGCATAGTGACTTACCTCACATTGGCCGCAGTAATGAGATGCTTCGTTCTTGCCTCTTCCATGGAAACGGACAAGTACACCTTTGGATTTAACGAAATCTAATGTGTGAATTACATTTTTCAGGGTTTGGAGCAAACATGTTCTGAAATTGAAAAAAAGGCATGTCAGCACGTAAATTTGTTACGCAAATTATAATCGACACATGTTTTTGCACCTTGGAAACTAGTCTACATCATCTTATTGAATTATAATTTAGGTTTGAATTTTGCTTTCATCACGTTTTGTGAATGGAATTTTGACATGCATTTCCTTATTTTAGATGCATCATTTCGCTATCTACCTGCTCACAAGATGGTTTCCAGGAGTTGGATCTGTCTGCTCTTTTTATTTTAGTGTATTCAACACATCCATCCAGAGCCAGATCATCCAGATCAATCTCCATCGGGAGAGATGGCAACAAACGCTCGGATGGACGAAATAATTAATGGTAAGTAACATATAGGGGAATTCAGGGACTTTGTACAAAACATGGTATATGGTCTGAACCAACTCCACAAAACTACTTTATGCTAATACTGAATTTCGACCGAGGGCCTGTTTTATCAGACATGTCACAAAATCGAATCGGAATGGTTTGAATTCCGTAATTCAAAATCTATCGTTTTTGTTTAGGCTTCTTCAGATTCCGTACGATTCTGGTGAACTAAAAAAATCATTGTTCAGTGTAAATAAATAAATAAGAAGAATGAAAGAACGAATGAATGAGGAATCAAAACAAACCACATGATTAGACAACACAGGTGAAAATTGTGTGAATATTCTGTTCAAAAGAGATTTTTGTGCGAAAAAAAATTATCTTTGTTAATTTTTACATAATCCAGAGAGTTTCGATTGCTGAAAAAATACACTGGAGAAATTTCAGAGATGCTTCGTGTGTTAATAACACGTTTAGTTTTAACTTATTGCTTTGCTTTGCTTGCCCCTAATTGCTTTGTTTGTCCCTTATTTAATTAAATGTTAACATTCCAAAATACATATTTCAAAATACTTTATTTATCTTTGCTTCAAATTAATATACGTATGCCGGAATTTTTAGTTTTCGCAAAAATTAAGTTTTCTCTTTTCTCCAGAGGTTTCCTCGCAAGACGCGACGATACTGAAGCAAGTGAATATAATTTATGGTATATATAGAATTTTCAAATTAAATAAGAGCTTTTGCAATTGAAATTAAACCTTTTGCACCATATCATTAAGTAAAGTTAAAACTAGACTAGACTAACTGGTGTATTCACGGGATATCTGGGTTTGCAAGCACAGTTTCATAAAATAGGTTGTACAGATTCTATTACTTGCAGGGCATGTGGCGAATAAGATGAAACTTTAAAACATTTTCTTTGCCTCTATCCCATTTTTACAAACTTTAGCAAACTTTTCTAAGGGAGAGGAACACCTCCAGACCTGAGACACGTCAGGAGAATATATGTTAACAACAACATTCTGTATAGTTCATCTTTGATTTGATAAATGGCAAACTTTGCTGTCAATAGCTCTTTCTCATTTCGGCAAAACAGTTTTATTATCCTGTATTAATACAAACAATTCGTATTATTATTTAGTTTACTCTTTCCAAAATTTTGGGCCTATACCAAAACGGGAAACTATATAGACAATATTATACAACAAGAATTATTTTCTATTGCGAGTCTTAAATACCAAATTTGATATATTTCGACTAAGATTACAAAAACCTAATATCGGTGGATACCATTATATGTGCGATATAGGAACACGTGGACCTAGATATTCAATATTCTGCCACCGGAGCTTGAACCCATTATGAACTACAAATAACAATTTTCAAACAAATCCGTGGAAAATGTGGCAAAAATCATCAAAATACCGAATATCGGTGGGTACCGATATATGTGCGATATAGGAGGACGTCTACCGGAGCTAGAAAAAAATGTGGCGAAAATTATCAAATTACCGAACATCATGAATTACCGTTATATGGCGACTGTACAACATGTGGACCGATATATCTCATTTTTAATACCAACGAAATACATATGTCAGACCTAACAAAGTATTTATATTCTTAATCAGCGTAAAATTCTAAGTCGATTTAGAGGTGTCCGTCTGTCTGCATGCCCGTTGTCGGTTGTAATAACGCTATCTTTCGAACGCATTGAGATAGAAGGCAGGAATTTTCAACACATGTGTACTTTGCCAGTAGGCAGGTTTAGTTTACTTGTTTTTGTTTTTTAATACTTTAATTGCATTCTCCAAACGATGATATCAGAAGTATTTGTAGTTTAAAGTGGAACACGTTTTAATCCTGATTCGGCTTATTGACTGATTGTAATTCCAACATAGAAAGTTCATATTCCGCTACATTTTAATTGGTTGGAAGGTCCTAATCACATTTGCAGCCACGTGTCTCTAATTTAATATTTTAGAATTCTAATAGATAAAGCACCACAATCAGAAATGACATGTCCAAATTTTATCATGTAACGTTTATATCCTAATACGGGGTGGAGAATCATCTTACATGGGCCTATTACAGTTAATGTATACTTTTTAATATATATGCTATATTATTTAGGTTTTCAACTCTCAAACTAAAACCTCTTACTGGAAAATAGGATCAGGTTTTTTGACAGACGTATTTATTTCTATTTAATCAAGTCAACATTTACGCAAAAAATTGCGCCACTGTATGTGAATTATTATGGTTTAAAAATTATGCATTAAAGACTAAAGAAAACACACACACACACACATATATATATATATATATATATATATATATATATATATATATATATATATATATATATATATATATATATATATATATATATATATATATATATATATATATATGGAAACTATTTGATTACGTGGACTTACCTTTACTTTAAGAAAATGAATCTTTTCGGTGGCTCGTTGTTTAAGTCTTTAATGCATAGTTTTTAAAGCATAATAATTCACAAATTTGGCTCACATAAGTGGCACAATTTTTTGTATATTTGATGACTCGATTACATGGAAATAAATACGTCTTTCAAAAAACCTGATCCTATTTCACAGTTAGAGGTTTTATTTTTAGAGTAAAAAAGTTAAATAATATAGCATATATTTTAAAAAGAATACATTAACTGTTTATAAAACGCTCATGTAAGATGGTTCTCTACTCCCAAAGTATCCCAAACACACATTTTAAGTCAAATCGATTCGAAAATATAATCAAAACCCTCGAAAAGGGTAAAATCAGGAGGTAGTTTTATATGAGCCCTACTTCAAAATATTGGCATTGAAAAATTTCCGCGAAGAGGGATTCTACCAGAAGCTAGATGCCAAATAAGGGCAAAATCAATTGAAAAATGTGACCAAGACCCCGGTAATAGCTAAAGTCACCGGATACCTTCACATAAGAGTTATAATGATGCATTGTTCTATACTTATAATTATTTGAAAGAATTTGTTTTTCTTTCTAAAATCTCAAATTACCAAGATTTGAGGAATTTGAAAGGGGCTATATCACAATGTAAACCAACTTGACACATATTTTGTACAAATGATTCCTAGGACTGCATTAAATATAAAACTTTATCGTAACTTTTGCGGAGTATAGGGCAAAATATTTGCGGCCCTTTGTGTATGGTTAAGCTTTATAAAATGGACTCTAAAAAAGTTAGATCCGGGAACTCCTCTTTTGGGATTTTTATTTACCAACCGAAAAAATTCCTAACCCCAAGATTGTCTGCGGCACAGTGTAATTACTGACGATGGCGCATAGTTCCCGTATAATGTTAACTATGATTTAAGTATATATGAATCCTTTTCTTACTATATTTTAAATTCACTCCATATGTATAGTCCGCATATTACAACGCCTCTTCATATTCGATATTTCACTGATTGAAGTCCCAATGAATTTTGCATTTTGAGTTCTCAATAGATGAATTATTTCCGTATCTAATCAAAATTGAAAATTTGGGTATGGCAACTATATAACAGCATGTATAGAAAATATGCAAACTTTCTCCATTTTTTCGGTTTTTTTCAATAAGAATTTTCAATTCCAAAAGGAATTCTGAAACAATTCTACACAAAATTCCATATCATAATAGAACAGTCAACGTTTTCAGTTCCGCGAGTTTTCTCAAAATTTTCTTTCATGACAACGTTTCCACTGTAATTACAAATAACCAAAAGAAATTTTGAGTCAAATCGGCCCAGCCGTTCTCAACAGATGTGTTACTATAATTCTTCATATTTTTATACCCTCCACCATACATAGCATGGAGGGTATATTAAGTTCGTCATTCCGTTTGTAACTCATCGAAATAATCATTTTAGACCCAACAAAGTATATATATTCTTGATCAGCGTAAAATTCTAAGACGATTTAGTCCTTTCGGTCCCTCTGTCCGTCTGTTGTAATCACGCTACAGTCTAAACGAATTAAGATAGGAAGCTAAAATTTTGCACAGATCTCTCTTTTGTCTGCAGGCAGGTCAAGTTCGAGATGGGCTATATCGGTCCACGATATCGTATAGCCCCCATATAACGGTACCCTCCGATATTCGGTATTTTGATAACTTTACCCACATTTTTCAACGGAATTGTCTGAAAATCCACACAAGGAGTTTCATGTGGTCACTTTATACCTCAGCACAGAATTATCTATATAGGTCCACGATATCGTATATCCCCCATATAACGGTACCCCCGATATTCGGTATTTTGATGATTTTACCCACATTTTCAAACGGAATTGTCTGAAAATCCACACAAGGAGTTCCTTGTGGGTACTTTATATCTCAGCAGAGAATTATTTATATAGGTACACGATATCGTATATCCCCCATATAACGGTATCCCCCGTTATTCGGTATTTTGATGATTTTAGCCACATTTTTCAACGGAAGTTGTACACAAGGGGTATTTTATGAGCACTTTACCCCCCCGACAGAGAATTCTTTATATAGGTTAATGATATCGTATAGCACCCATATAACGGTACCCCTGATATTCGGTACTTTGATGATTTTGGCCACATTTTCAAATCGTATTGTCTGAAAATCCACACACTTTACGCCCTTAAAGGGAATTGTCTATAGAGGTCCGTAA